TCAAAGTCCTTTCATGGACACCCTTAGGCATATTCTACAGATGTCCAGGGGTCTGCAGACCACAGGTTGAAAATCACTGGGTTAGGGACTATTTAGAAAAGCTGGATGTGTACAAGTCCATGGGAGCAGATACAATGCACCTGAAGGTGCTGAGGGAGTTGGCCAATGTGACTGCAGAGCCACTGGCCATTATCTTTGAAAACTTTGTGGCAACTGGAAGAGGCCCTGTATGATTTTCTAAGCACTTGATGATTAGGAACAGTCAGCATGGATTCACAAAGGGCAAGTCATGCCTGACCAACCTGATTGCCTTCTGTGATGAGATAACTGGCTGTGTGGATGCAGGGAAAGCAGTGGACATTTTATACTTTGACTTTAGCAAGGCTTTTGATACCATCTCCCACAGCATTCTTGCAAGTAAGCTGAAGAAGTATGGGTTGGTTGGATGAATGGACTGTAAGATGGACAGAAAAGTGTCTGGAGTGTCAGGCTCAACAGGTAGTAACCAATGGCTCAATGTCTAGCAGGTAGCCAGCATCAAACGGAGTGCCCCAAGGGCTGTTTTTTTTCAATATCTTCATTAATGATCTGGAAGCCAGGATGGACTGCATCCTCAGGAAGTTTGCGGATGACACCAAACTGGGGGGTACAGTAGATACACTGGAGGGTAGGGCTAGGATTCAGAGTGACCTAGACAAATTGGAGGATTAGACCAAAAGAAATCTCATGAGGTTCAATAAGGACAAGTGCAAAGTCCTGCACTTAGGATGAAAGAATCTCATGTACTGCTACAGCCTGGGGACTGATTGGATAAGCAGCAACTCTACAGAAAAGGACCTGGGGGTTACAGTGGACAATAAGCTGAATATGTGCTAGCAGTGTGCCCCTGTTGACAAGAAGGCTAACAGCATACTGGGCTGCATTATTACAAGTGTTGCCAGCAGATCAAGTGAAGTAATTATTCTGTTCTATTCTGCACTGGTGAGGCCACACCTGGAGTACTGTGTCCAGTTTTTGGCCCCCCACTCCAAAATTGGAGACAGTCCAGCAGAGAGCAGTGAAAATTGTTTTGGGGGCTGGGACACATGATATATGAAGAGAGGCTGAGGGAACTGGGTTTTTTTAGCCTGCAGAAGAGAAGAGTGAGAGGGGTTTGATAGCAACCTTTAACTAGCTGAAAGGTGGTTCCAAAGAGGATAGAGCTAGACTGTTCTCAGTGGTGGCAGATGACAGAACAAGGAGCAATGGTCTCAAGTTGTAGCAAGGGAGGTTTAAGTTGGATATCAGGAAAAACTTTCACACTAGGAGAGTGGTGAAGCATTGGAACAGGTTACCTAGAGAGGTGATGGAATCTCCATCCCTGGAGGTTTTTAAGGCTTGGCTTCACAAAGCTGTATCTGGAATTACTTAGTTGGAGCTGGTTCTGTTTTGAGTAGGGGGTTGGACAAGATGAATTCCTTAAGTCCCTTCCAACCCTAATTTTCTATGATTGGAAAAGGGCAAATATAGTGGCCATCTTTAAGAAAAGGAAGAAGGAGGATCCAGGGATCTACAGACTGGTTAGCTTCACCTCAGTCCATGGAAAATCATGGAGCAGGTCCCTCAAAGAATCTATTTCAAACCACTTGGAGGAGAAGAAGGTAGTTTGGAACAGTTGGCATGGATTCACCAAGGGCAAGTCTTACCTGACAAACTTCACTGCCTTCTATGATGAGATGATTGGCTTTATGGATGAAGAAAGAGCAGTTGACATGATATACCTTGACTTTAACAAGGCTTTTGATATGGTCTCCCACAACACTCTTGCAAGCAAGGTAAGAAAGTATGGGTTGGCTGAATAAACTGTAAGGTGGATAGAAACCTGGCTGGATTGTCAGGTTCAGAGGGTAGTAAATCAATGGCTTGATATCTAGTTGGCAGCCAGTAACAAGTGGAGTGCTGCAGGGGGTGGCCCTGGGGCCAGTTTTGTTCAATATTTTCATCAGTGACCTACAAGATGGAATGCAGTGTACCCTTAGCAAGTTTCCAGATGACACCAAGCTGGGAGGAGTGGTAGATATAGTAGATGGTAGGGCTAGGATTCAGAGAGACATAGACCAATTGAGGGATTGGAACAAAAGAAATCTCATGGGGTTCATTAAGGACAACTGCAAAGTCCTGCAGTTAGGACAGAAAAATCCCATGCAGACTGGAAACTGATTAGCTAAGCAGCAGCTCTGCAGAAAAGGACCTGGGGGTCACAGTGGACAGTAAGCTGGATATGAGTCAACAGTGCGCCTTTGTTGCAAAGAAAGCTAACAGCATACTGGACTGCATTAGCAGGAGTATTGCCAGCAGATTGAGGGAAGTGATTATTTTTCTCTATTTGGCACCGGTAAGGCCACATCTGGAGTACTGTCTCCAGTTTTGGGCTCCCCATTACTGAAAGGATCTGAACAAATTGGAGAGAGTCCAACAGTGGGCAGTGAAAATGGTCATGGGGCTGGTGCACATGACTTCTGATTAGAGGCTAAGGGAACTGGTCTTATTAGTCTGGGAAATTAATTGAGGGGGAGGGAGGAGGGATTTAATAGCAGCTTTCAACTACCTGAAGGGTGGTTCGAAAAGGGATGGAGATAGACTGTTCCTAGTGGTGGCATATACTAGAATAAGGAGCAATGGACTCAAGTTGCAGCAAGGGAATTTTAAGTTAGATGTTAGGAAAAACTTTCTCGCTAGGAAGGTAGTAAAGCACTCAAAGAAGTTATCCAGAGCGGTTGTGGATTCTCCGTCCTTGAAGGTTTTTAAGACCTGGGTAGATAAAGTCTTGGCTGGGGTGATTTAGTTTGAGAAGGTCTTGCTTTAAGCAGGAGGTTAGACTAGATGACCTCCTGAGATCCGTTCCAACCCTTATTTTCTATGTTTCTATGATTCTACAAATGTAACCCAGAACACTATGTACAGTAGTTCATACTTCAATCACTTTCATACTCAGTGGGCACATCTACACAAGGTGCTTGCTGTACATTAGCCTCATAACACTGCACAGTAGCATGATGGTTAAAAACTGTGTTAATAGCCTATTGTGCAGTGTTATCAGGCTAATGTGCAGTATGTGTTACAAACTAAATGTGCTCCAGGGCTACTGCGCAGTAACTCTTGGTACTGCGCATTTAGCTAGTACTTTATTAAACAAGTACTAAACTAAATGCACAGTATCTAAGGTGCATTAATGAACATGTAGACGTGCTCAGTGAAAATGATGTCTCAGTAACATATGCTGTTCTGACACTTAATGCCCTCCCTTCTCTTTTTTTTTGCAACCAGGATGCATGCTGCATCAGAAGAACTAAATGTATAAAATTACTTTACTCATAATTTCACTTTTTAATGGAGCTGGTAACTGTGAACACTTGATATAGATATTCTTGAGTAAAACTGGCATGGTACTGGAGTTGTAAATGTACAGTAGATATACATTCAAAGTGAATTCCTCAAAAAATGTTTGTTCAGGCAATCCAAGGAAGATTCAATAACACAGCCTTATGTGCCTTTTCAGAGTCTGCTATGGAGGTGGTACAACCAAAATCCACAGCAAAAGGAATTCAGTTGCATTGACTAACTTCTAAAAAAAGTCATATTCTTTTAGAGAATGTGAAGTTTATATCAAACGTCTCACTGCAACTAGGAAACATAACCTCCTTTCTTTTTGATATTATGCCATGAGGAGGTTGTAATTCACATGTGACATCATAGTAGCATTGTTAAAGTGCAGTTTTTGAACAAAACACTTTCCAGATTAGAAACCATAAGGTTTAAATGTGAAAACTATAATAAAATGTGTGAAGAGTAAGTAGCAGCTGAAATACCTCCGATATCAAAGTGTTATCACCTCACATAGGTATGAAGTGCTCCTTAGGTTATAAAAATGGTTACATCCACACATGTGGATATATATTTTACTGTAATGACAAATCTGACCATAAATGCAGAGTAGAGGAAAATTGTGGATATTAAAAAAATATTTTTTCCTGATTAAAGTCTTGTGTGCTCACCAAACACCATTTATAAAACAATATGGGAGAACAGCTGAGTAAATAACCAGAGAGATACTTCTGATGACCGAAGAGATATTTGAGCTAATCTGGTCCATGTGCTCATTCTGCTTGTCATTGAATTTATAGAATTTCTACCTGTCAGATTCCAGGTCCCCATGAATCAGAGTGGTATTAACACTGTATACACACACTTAATAGAATCTTGTAAGTTTTGTCACTGATTTTAAGAAGACCAAGATTTCATCTGTTTATTTAAAATGGGATTGATCCAGCTCCCACGAAAGACAATGGTACAACACCCACTGCTTTCAGTGATACAGTATCAAAAAGGCCCTTTGAGTAACATGCCACTAAACAAATGCTGTAGAGTTGGGTTTTGCAGAGGGGAGGAGCTGGGTTAAAACTAGCTTTGAGTTTTCTATAACAGCAGTCTGAAAGATAATATAAATGCATATAAATTATCAATGTTAAATTGCTTACCTCTTGTTACATATACATACATCTCAGAATACAGAAATGTAAGAATATAGTTACAGAAGGCATGCCTTATAGCACTGTTTTCCTATGATGATGGGATGCTTTAACACACTTTCCTATGGCTGTTGTGTGTGCCATTATGCTACAGAAATATATTGGTATTGTGCAATAAAACATGTTTACTAACATAAAAATATATACACATTAAACATAAGCACATATACATATCTATAACACACATACATATGACAGCAAACATGAGTGTCTGCATATATCTTATATATACATTCATGTAAAACATGCATATCAACTGTATATATAGCACACACAAATATATGCAGACATAGTAAACAACACCCTATTTAGTTTTAGTTCAGCTTGTGCATGGTTATTGAATAAATTAAAATGTTTAAATAATTTGGGCTCTAGTTTGTTTATTAAATAAAAAAATATAAGAGGAAAGAAACATTTCACAGAAATGCATACCTGTATTCATTTTGACACTGGAGGTTTTGCTACAAAAGTCTTCAGTTTTCCTGTAGAAAACAAAATGATCTATTAATTTGTCACAAGACAAAGGTATGTAGTACAAAATGTCATCAGAATTTTTTTTGCAGGAGGTGGAGGGGGAGGAAGGGACTAAGAAATCAGTGTCATATCAATGATAGTCACATTTTAACACATGCTTTAATTAAACTGGCAACCCTTGTGCCTCTGAAGTTAAGGCTGAGTCAACACTTCCATTATAACTTAATCTATTTTCAAATGTTTGTTATCTTGGTCATAAACATTTGCTCTGGGATGAATCTGGCAATTGATTTTTGATCTCCAGATTATCAAACTAAAAAGCATCTCATGTAAAGGAATGTGGAAAATTATTTTAAAAAGTTGTTTACAGGTTTTGCACAAAAAGACTGACATAAAATAAAGACTAGGCACGTTTTCTTTTTTAACAGCTACAAGCATTCAAGCAATAGCTGTTTTTCAACAATCATCAGGAGAGTTACAGCTTTCTTCATAAAATAACTTACTATGGCATTTCTTAACATGGGATACCGTGGCGTTTCTCCCTGTTGCTTACTGCAGTACTAACAACAGACTAGGGCCTGTTTTGGCCCCAGTGGAAATAAATGCCTGAAGTCTGTATTACTTCAGCAGATGAACAATTAACTTCCCAAAAGGCCTTAAGGGATAACTATCCTTAAGGGATAATAATATGCCTTGAAGCCAATTCTAAATACATTAATCCAGGAAGCTGGAACAGTTTAAGTCTCTTGGATCGGAGGTCCCTAGCTCTCCATGACATTTGAAAACAGCTAAACAAACAAACAAACAAACAAACAACAAACAACAAACAAGGAAATGACAACCTGGGAGAAGGCAGTATGCCCTAAATCAAGCCTGTCAAACTCATCTAGCCTTTGGGCCCACAGACTGGCCCCACATGCCAGATTCAGCACTACAGGGTGCTCTCCAGGGCGCACACACAGCACGTACCCTGGAGCAGCCCGTGTTGCTTGCTCCATTCCTGCACACTGCAGGCAATGTGTGCTAGCACTGGCATTGGCACTGGCCCGGTATGTGGTGTGTGAAGCTGGTCCTGGGCACACACTACACAGGGCATGCGGGGTCAATCTGGGGCATGCGCTGCTTGTGGTGCCTGAGCTGGACTTGCTTGCTGGTCTAGATCCAACACACAGGGGTTAGTGTATGGGCCTGTTCTAGACTGGCCCCAGATTGCAGAGCCACATATAGCACATGCCCCAAACTGGCAGTGCACGCTACATGCAGCATGTGCCAGCTCCAGCCCCGTGCAACACATGGTGCACAGAGCTGGCCCAGAATGCACTGAATCTGGCATGGGTGGCTGGTTTGAGGGTCTGATCCAGACTGGCTCTGGATCCAGTGTGCAGGGCCAGTTTGGTGTGGGTGCTGCATGCAGTGCTGCAGCCCCACTTGCATTCTATGCAGCCAGCTGCAGCCCCACTCCCATGAGCAGCACACACCACATGGACTTGACATGCCAGCATGTGCTGCATGTGGCACTGGTCCACAACCCACAGGCAGCACTGTTGGCCAGAGAATCTGGCTCTGCAGGTTGGATCTGGATCTCAGGCTATCTCTGACACCCCTGCTCTAAATTTAGCCTAAACTGAGCTGCTTTTAACTCCTGGGGCTGTAGTTAAAAGTTTACACAGTAGTCTGAGATAAGAACACACTAGATCTGACTTTCTGTTACCTCTGTCAGTTTGTAGTGCTTTTTTAAAACCCATTTGAGATGCCAGTGGCACAGAGATAATAAAAGAAGGGAAGGCTGCAGAAATGACTCCCAAGGAACATGGCCAATGCTGAAGTTACTCCTCCCCACCTCCCTCCCCCTACACCCCCCTACACACACACACACACACACACACACCACTATTTTTTGATATACCATCTCTCTGCGCACCCACCCAGTTAGAACAATGATGGCACACACAGTGAGAAGGGATAGAATGCAACTATCATATTGCACTTCTTTACTGGTCACATATGGTAGTATCATCACTACTACTAACAGTGAGTTTTCTTTTGCTCTAGATTATGGGACATAACAGGGCAGATGGAAAACAAAAGGAGCAACATAGGAGCTGAGAGAAGGTATGGTGGGGTGACTAACAAAATTTCATGACATCTACTTATGGTGCAACTATCAGAAAATTAGCCCCTGAGAATTCTCAGTAGAGGATTTATAGATTAAAGAGAATCTAATTTATTTTGTTCAATTTTGATTAACTGTTTTTGATTGTAACTTTAGGCTTGCATAACCGCCACAAATTATTCTTGAATGCACTGAATTCTTGGAGTGTTTTCATGCTGCTAGAGGAGACAGCATTTTCAAGTATTCTTTTAGCTTGGAACGGTTTCAGAGGCGGGACTATGAAAAGAGGCTATAAAATGCAACACTACGCAGACTCTCAGGAAAGACTCAGTGAATACAGAACTCTTTGTATGCCCTGATGTCAAAATGATTTCTAGCAGTTAACTTTGATGAGTTTACATAACGTTTGTTTAATTCATGCTAAAGTTTTACACATAATACTCTATTTTTTCTTGCTAAAATGGAAACAAACTGGCATCAATGGAAGTTGTTTTGACTGGGTTGAGTTTCTACAGGTCTCTCTAGTAATTTGGTCACAATTATTGAGGGATTGCATATAGAGCACCTCATCATTCCTAACTCCAGCTACTGCGCAGTTATTTAGTACTTGTATAGTAGTCATTTACAATACAAATACTAAATGACTGTGCAGTAACAACTGTGCAGTCAGCGTCTCATGTAGATGTGGCCAGTCTGAATCTGGATTCATTTATGAAGATTTAGGGACAAATTTTGATCTTGAATCCATACTCATAAGGTGTTTGTATGCATAAGACAGTACAAGAGAGACACAACCCAAAACAGTTCCTCATTTTTAACAAACTGGTGGTACTAATCTAAAATGATTTCTACCTTTTGCTAAAGTACTGAGGAACACTTAAAATACCACTAAAAGGAGTTCAAGAATTTAAATAGTTGCCAGAAACTTCAGAGTTATACTTCTGTGTTAACTTTTTCCTTTTTTAATTATGTTATATCAAACAATATCTACAATTTCTATCTGTATAGACTTATATCAAGGGACTGTTGAGAATTTTAAATAATATCTACAATTTCTATCAGTATGGGCAAAAACAAATTACAAGAAGTTAAAGGTGGGGAGAGTTTATTGATCATCAGCGGCTCTGTGGCAACTGATGTGTGTGTCTGCTCCTATCCTGCAGTAAGGATAAGTAAACCAGGGCAGCCTACCCTGCAAATGAAGCAGAGTGAGGTTATTGTAGTTTCCTTTCCACTTACTGTGAAATAGGAGAGGACCCACAAAGCAATTACCACAAAGCAGCAGATATGTGGACCTCTTTTAACAAGTATAAATTTGCTGTCTATTAGTATCCTAAAACTGAAAGCAATTAAGGAAAAGAAGACAGGTTTCACTGTATTTCAGGACCTTTACATGCAGTTAGTGTGACTGCTTTGTGCAAATTGCTCTCTGCGGACAGATCCCTATGCATATGTAAGCATACAGTTGTGCGGGCCGGGAGCGGTCCGAGGCTTTTGGGGGCGCGCGGCAGGCTGTGGCGAGCAGCCCTGGCACGTGGGTCGGGGAATTCGGCACGGCAGACTAGAATTAGGCACGGACGCGTAGAGGTTGATTAAAGATTATTTTACTTACACCGTAGATGGTCGTGGTGCAGGCAGGAAAACTTGCTTGCGTTGCAGTTACAGATAGAAAAGAAGAAGAGTGGACAAGAGTTCTAACCACGAACTCTGGTCCAACGCTGGCTGAGAGCTCTAGAACCGCGAGCCTGTCAAATCAACCGGACGAAATAACCCGAGAAGAGCTCTGGATACCACGATGAGAGTCCAAAAGGTAACTCTCCACGAAAGCGTGCAGGGAAGTGTACGGTGAGGGATCAGGCGGCAACGGGGAGAGGCTAGAGGTTGATCAGGCCCCTGTATCCTCCTCTAAGGCACACGCGAGGTTTGTTAGGCTCCATAGCGCGCTTAGAGTTCTCCACGAGATGGATGTGGAGTCCTCCTAAATGAGGTCCTCCCCGGAGATCTCCAACTTGGGCGGAAACCGCTCAAGCCTCTTATACGCCTAGCAAGCCAATCGCTAGCTGCCACGTGGGAATAATTTAGAAACAGCCAATAGTGGGACACAAATTTACATATGGGTGGCGGGAACTCCTTTGCACCGGGGTTTTCTCTATGCAACTGAGAATTGCACTGTGCAAAGAAAGCTCCTCATGGCAGGAAATAATTCTGCAGTGCCGAAGCACACACAAAATCATACCCTTTGGGTCATGACAACAGTGACTTCAGATACACATGGAGCAGTTTGCAAAATCAGGGACTGACACCATTTCATCAGTCAGGCTTTGGTTCAGGGAAGCATTTAATCAAGGACATGTCTGACTTGAAGCAACCAGGAGAAAGCACAACTGAGTTAAGCTGCTGACACACAATTTTTGTAGCATTATGAATTTTTTTCCATAGATTCATAGATTGTTAGGGGCTGGAAGGGACCTTGCAGATCATCAGGTTCAGTCCCCAAAGCCTTTTGGAAGTCTAGGTATATAACGTCTACCTTGTCTCCCATGTCCAGGTGGCAAGAGTAAGTCTGTATACTTACTTCATTTGGGAAAAATCGGGATCAGATATAAAATATTCAACAGCACTATGTACAAGAAATAAACCATGCCTGACCCCCCTACCCCAATCCTTTATTGGTGTATCCCTAGATGTATAAGTTACCTGAAGAAATGTGTCCTTAATGTTAAGAACTTTGTAAATCATTTTAACTTGACTGACTGCAACTGAAACAAATTCTTGCTTATATGCATTCAGCACTGCTGCCACTGGATGAAGGAACACAGGAAAGTTCATGGACTGATGATTTTTTCATGAGTTTGAAAGTGTCTTGTATTTACCTCCTGTCCTTTCCACAGAGGT